TCGATGGGGCCCCAATGCCAATACTTTGACAGAATTTTTTGAGTGGACTTTTGTCGATTTTTTTTGATAATTATTGTTGCAGTAATTTTTAATCGCCTATTCTGTGTACATTTCCTTTTTTTTTGCTGGAACATTACAGTGGTGAACTGACCAGAAGCATGTAAATGCAAAACAGGTCACCTTATGCACGAGAGAGCGAAGAACCGCTAGCTTTTATTAAGCAGCAGTCAGCAAAGGACTTGGTTCTAGCTCTGAATGTGCAGGAAATCATCGTTTTAGTAAAAGAAAGCAAAATCCGATGAGCTATGAGCGTCATTCAACGACCGCTGGCGCATTTGTGTGTACTGCTACAAGTACCACAAAATGGAACGGCCCTATAGAATTGGGCTTGGAATGCAGCTAATATTCGTCACTCTGGTTCACCCCACTTATCCGCAAAAAATTTTATGCGGACAGAACCATGCTCACCTGGAGTTGATTTTGAAGTCATTTAATTTTACTTGGACAGAGAAAATCCCCCTAAAATATTTGACTTATTTCGATCAAGTTTTTTCCGGTCTAGTCGATGATTTTGTATGTGTCGTTGTACATGTAAATGGTAGTATTTTTGCCGTGTCTTCTGACGCTGGGCGTCTGTTTTGTTATTTGTTCGGGTTCAAGTGGTTTTCTATCACTGAATGATAAAGCTCTGTTAATAAGCATCTGTTCCAACTAAAGTCAATTTCTTAGAGTCTAGCCAAGTGGCGCACTTGCAACATGAGTTGACGTCAAGTGCCAGATGATAAAGAGCGAGTTGCTTGGGGAATTACTTTTTATTGCTGGGTTTTATGAATGGAATTCTACTGCCACACCGGGGGCAACCGACTATCACGGGACCATCCGGGGGTTCTTCGGGACTGAGCACCAGTGACAGTTTCCTCAACGAATTCCCCGCTCTCCTTAAATACAATCAATGGCAATTACTGCTAAAGTTGGTCCAGCTCGATCAAGCAAGAAATACGCTTTTGCATGTTTTGGTGAAATTTGGTCCTGGTTGCACACGAGTACTGGTTTCTTCCGACGAAGTTTTGGAATGCAAGCATAGACTTACTAGCTTCTCCTTATCATCTAATTTCTTGCTTAGCATCATAAATTCATGCAACTCCCCGCTTCATAACCCCAATTTCGCTTCTAAATCCCGCTACCAAGCAAGATCTCAGCTCTTTTCCGGTCAACAACTTCATCTCCCTGTCTCCATTATGACCTCTGAGACCTAAATCACCATTCCTGAACACACATGGTCGCCTCTTTGCTTCCCCGGTCCTCCATTTCCCACCACCGGCCGTCGCAACTTGTCCCCAGGCCCCGTCGCAACTTGTCCTTCAACCCCGACTGAACAAGGCCCAAAGACGTCGAGTTTTAGCCAATTTTTTCGTGAC